GTGAATGCGGGGTCTGGGGAGAGCGGATGTACTGAATGCAGGGTCCGGGGAGAGCGGATATAGTGAATGCAGGGTCCGGGGAGAGCGGATATAGTGAATGCAGGGTCCGGGGAGAGTGGATATAGTGAATGCAGGGTCCGGGGAGAGCGGATATAGTGAATGCAGGGTCCGGGGAGACCGGATATAGTGAATGCAGGGTCCGGGGAGACCAGATATAGTGAATGCAGGGTCTGGGGAGACCAGATATAGTGAATGCAGGGTCCGGGGAGACCAGATATAGTGAATGCAGGGTCCGGGGAGACCGGATATAGTGAATGCAGGGTCCGGGGAGACCAGATATAGTGAATGCAGGGTCTCGGGTTTAGTAACACTTTAATGATGGCGGCGTGTTTGCTGACAAGTCCGATGGACACTTCCACGCAGAAAATATCATCCACAGATTTCTTCTCCTCCGTCATTCACATTGCTCTTCGTCCACCGCTGTCTACAAATGTTAAAAGTTTGAAAGTTGTTCGGTAAACCGCATTGCCTATAATTCATTGTAGAAATCCCATTATATTTGGTTACAGAAGACTGAGCTTAATATACTGAGAGATGCGCTAGGCCTCTGCCACAATCCGCTAATGGGGGAGGGGCATTATACGGTCCATAAAATACAGCAATTTATATCATGTGTCAGTGTCTCGGGATGCCGTTAATTGCTGAAGCTGCCTAATTGTAATGAGAGGAGGCGATAGCATCATGTACAGGACGCAGGAAGTGCGGCCGACCTGATATTAAAGTATCTCATTTCATTTTATAATTTTTCATGTTCCAGATACATAGGAAGACACAGGTGAGAGAGACATTAATAGTATTAATACAGCAGTAATTCAGAGATTAATCTCAATATTCCTCCTCTCATCTAACGCTTCTCACACGGTTACAATGTAGCAATTACAAGTTTACAAGTGACGCCTATAATAGGAGACTCTTCAGCTGGGAGAAGAAGTTCCATTAATATATGATACAGCGTAGCCTGACAATCACGGAACGCACCATGCATTGTATTAGATCTTACCCATTGGCTAGTATAATATACCGACTATTAACCTTTTTACTGCCGGAGCCCTTTTTGCATATTTTTTTGCACAAATGTTTAAAAAAAATCATCTCAGGCCTGAAAATTACATAAAATCCCCAAAACATTATATATTTTCTGAAAGGTAAGGTACCTTACTGTAAGGTAGAAGGCAGCGGCAGTAAAAGGGTTTAGCCACTTGCCAACTGAATGACGTCTACAGTGTGGTTGACCAGTTCTGGGAGGACATCATATGACGTCCTCCCAGAAGGCGCCCTCCCGCGCCCCCCCGGGCGCCCCCGGTCACCGGTAAATGCAGTTGCCGGTTATCAGCTGCACTTTCTTCACACTGTCACAGCATGAGGAAAGTACTACCGATAACCAGCAATTGTCAGAGGATGGATCTGCACCGATCATCAAGGAAGTGATGATCAGTGCCCGGCAGTGCCACCCACTAGTGCCACCCACAAGTGCCCAGCAGTGCCACCCACCTGTGCCCTTCAGTGCCTAGCAGTACCATCCACCTGTGCCCATCAGTGCCTAGTAGTGCCACCCACCTGTGCCCAGCAGTGCCTAGTAGTGCCACCCACCTGTGCCCAGCAGTGCCACCCACCAGTGCCCAGCAGTGCTCCCATCAGTGCTGCCCAGCAGTGCCACCCATCAGTGTGCCCAGCAGTGCTGCCAGTCAGTGCCATCAGTCAGTGCCATCCATCAGTGCCACCTATCAGTGCTGCCTATCAGTGCTCATCATTGTTGCATATCAGTGCAGCATAATCTGTGCCACCTCATCAGTGCCAGCTCATCAGTGCCACCTATCAGTGCCGCCTATCAGTGCAGCCTATCAGTGCCCATCAGTGCTACCTATCCATGCCACCTCATCAGTACTACTTGTCAGTGCCCATCAGAGCTACCTATCAGTACCCATCAATGCTGCCTATCAGAACCCCATCAATGCCCATCAATGGTGTCTATCAGTGCCCATTAGTGCTGCCTATCAGTGCCCATCAGTGCTGCCTATCAGTGCAGCCTCATCAACGCACATCAATGAAGGAGAAAAACTACCTGTTTGCAAAATTTTATAATAGAAACCAAGAAAAAACTTTTTTTTTCAAATGTTTTGCTCTTTTTTTTTGTTTATAGCGCAAAAAATTAAAACCCAGCGGCAATTAAATACCACCAAAAGAAAGCTCTATTTCTGTGAAAAAAATTATAAACATTTCATATGGGTACAGTGTTGCATGACCGCGCAATTGTCATTCAAAGTGCGACAGCGCTGAAAGCTGAAAATTGGCCTGGACAGGAAGGGGGTAGAAGTACCCAATAGGCAAGTGGTTAAGCAAGCTCTAACTGACTTCTGTAGCTACAAGTTCTATGGAGTAATTCTTTCTTAAAACTGAACTCTTTATTGCATGCTTGCATTGGCTGTGACAATACTGTCCCTCCCCTTTACCAATCAGAAGATTCCTTGCATTCATCAAAACAAAATTGCAAGGCATTCTATGAATGGCGGCGGTGAACACCAGCTTCTAGAACAAGGCATCCCCTGCATATGTTTGGCTGTCTATTCACTCATGCAACTTTGAAAATCAGAAGGCAAATTTAAAACCCTGGTGCCCAACCTGTGGGCTTCTAGCAGGGCCGTGGATAAAGGGGTAACATGTCTTCCTGTACGAGGCCCAAGCCAGCAGGGGGCCCAGGCAGCTAGGTGAATCAGATGTTGGCAGGGAGGGTGATCGGCAGAGCAGGGGGGCAATTACTGGAACCGATCCCCTGTATGGCTCTCTCTGCAGCAGCTGAAAGATGGTTTTTCTCCTGCCCTTCCCGCCAGCTTTTAGCTGCTGCAGAGAACCATAAAGGGGATCGGTTTCAGTAATTGCCCCCCTGCCGTACTGATCACCCTCCCTGTGCACCATACGTTTTCCCCTGTGCCACCCCCCTCTCCCCCGCAGTGATGCTGGCTTCCTCCTCTTCTTCCCACCAGCAGCTGCAAGCACACAATAGGGTCCTTCAGGATGGTGATTGGGGGAAGGGTCCTGAAAATGTCACATTTATAGCCCCTGCCTTACCTGAATGAACACAAAGAGAGATCGGCACCAATCACTCACTGGGTTCATTCATAAATTGTGTTTATTTGGGAAGGCCTTTCTGGATTGGCTGTATGGGGCACTGTGGTTTCTAACAGCAGCCCTAGCTTCTAGTATATGAGGTGCAGCCCTCGAACCTCAGCAGTTAGTAGTCTGATCAGGGTAACAGCATTGATCTCTGCTAGCCTCATGTAATGCTCCCAGTTTCATATTGTGTTCTGCAGCATATCCTGTCAGTTAACCACTTCCCATCCGGCCCATGTATATAAATGGCCGGACGGGAGCAGTGCAGGAGTGGGTGGCTGTTTATAAACGCCTCCCTGCTACCTGCTTGTGCGCACTCCCTGGGAGTACAGCACCATGATCCTGTGCTCGCTGTGTCTGAAGGACACCGATCATTGTACAGGACCTCTGTGTGAGGTCCCGTTCATGTGATCACTGATTGGCCAATCAGTGATCACATGAAGAGTAGTAAGCAAGATGTCACTTCTGACATCATGGCTTACTACATGTGAAATCTGTGACTGATCACAGAGGTCACATGGTACAGGGCTTTTTACAACAGCCTTGTACCATGTGACAAGCTGTGACCAATCACAGCTCTCACAGTATTTCTCAATGGCCTCAAGAATGCAGCCAGAGAGAAGGAGAAATGATTGCTTTTACAGCCTTTATGGGTGTAAAAGCAATCAGTGTAAAAGAAAAAAGAAAAAAAAATCTTCCTCACCCCCATAAGTAGTACAGTGTCACTATGGTGACACTGTACTGCTAGGGTGGCAGTATGTTTCATCCAATCCGCAGATCCGATCCATCCTGCGGGGATTGTCGGCTTGCAACCTATACGGGGTTAACTGATCTCTCCACGAGCTCCACAAAAAGGAAAGTTTTAAAGCAAGCCGACGATCACCGCAGGATGGATCGGATCTGCGGATTGAGCATAATGGAAATTATTGTTTTTTACAGCCTTTATGGGTGTAAAAGCAATCAGTGTAAAATAAAAAAGAAAAAAAATCTTCATCACCCCCCATAAGTAGTACAGTGTCACCATGGGTATGTAAAAAAAAAACCAAAACATAATAATATAAAAAAATAAAATAAAAATGTAAAAAAAAATTTTGAAAAATTGTAATTTTTGGTTATAAACTAATCTGCGTTATTTTTTTTTATTTACTAAAGAAATAATGATCATCCAATTTTGGCCAAGATTTATCAAGAAACATTATTTATTTGCAAAATTTTATAAGAAAAAACACTTTTTTTTTCAAAATATTTGGACTTTTTCATTGATATAGCAAAAAAAAAAATAAAAATCCCCAGCGGTGAATACATACCACCAAAATAAAGTTTTATCTGTCTCAATTCAAAAATGCTAAAAAATTCATATGGGTACAGTGTTTGCATGACTGCGCAATTGTCATTCAAAGTGTGATAGCGCTGAAAGCTGAAAATTGGCCTGGGCAGGAAGGGGGGGAAAGTGTCCGGACTGGAAGGGGGGGGAAAGTGTCCGGACTGGAAAGTGTCCGGACTGGAAGGGGTGTGAAAGTGTCCGGACTGGAAGGGGGTGGAAGTGTCCGGACTGGAAGGGGGTGGAAGTGTCCGGACTGGAAGGGGGTGAAAGTGTCCGGAAGGGGGGAAAGTGTCCGGAACAGGGGGGTGAAAGTGTCCGGACTGGAAGGGGGGAAGTGTCCGGACAGGAAGGGGGGAAGGAAGTGTCCGGACTGGAAGGGGGGTGAAAGTGTCCGGACTGGAAGGGGGGGGAAAGTGTCCGGACTGGAAGGGGGGAAAAGTGTCCGGGTGGAAGGGGGTAAAAGTGTCCGGATGGAAGGGGGGGAAAGTGTCTGGACTGGAAGGGGGGGAAGTGTCTGGACTGGAAGGGGGGAAAGTGTCCGGACAGGAAGGGGGTAAAAGTGTCCGGACTGGAAGGGGGGAAAGTGGGACTGGAAGGGGGTGAAAGTGTCCGGACTGGAAGGGGGGGAAAGTGTCCGGACTGGAAGGGGGCGAAAGTGTCCGTGTGGCAGGCGCAGCACCCTTTGGTGCCTAGTGCGCTGTGGCATTAGAAGAATTATGCAATTGCTGTTTCTTTGTTGATTAGACTGACTTTACTCTGTAATTCCTCCAATGCCGCTCTATGGATGCAGTAGATTTAAAGAGCACACCGAATACTTTAGTTAACTTCTTTAATAACTTCAATCTTCTTCATATAACACGGCTTACAATGGCTTGTTTCATTTATCATACAGTAGCTTATTTCTTTCATATTACAGTGGTTTGATTCGATAGCTTATCTCGATAGGTTCAATAGATTCGATAAATTTGTTCTGTATATGTCGATAGATTGATAAATTCACTTGGATTTATAAATTCGTTATATTCGATAAGTTCGTAAGTTCGATAAGTTCGTAAATTCAGTGGAACTAAAGTAAACACATACAACATTTTTAGACACAGATCTACCTGCACTGTTAAACAATAGAGGAACACACAAGTGCATTAAATACCTATTTGGCCTTCTCTGCTTCCATAAAGCTTCTCTGACTGGAACTTTGTCTGTTTCCTCTTCTGTCTGGTGAGCATGTGTCTCTAGAAAATCCTAGCAGGGAGTTTTACACAGGCATAAATGTGAAACTGGCTGGGATTGGTTAAGGCTCTGTACAGTGTGAGGCTGTCTGTGATTGGCTCACCTTATACTAACTCTTAAAGGCATATTTTCCTTTTCTGCTTCTGCTAACACAATGAATATATAAATGTCATATAACAATCAAAGACATAAATTACAGCAATGATTTTGCTTTTGGCTTTAACATATGTGCACATATACACTGTACTGAGGTTATTGGCAGGTTTGGTATACATATATATGTGAACCATATTAACAACCTAGGACTGGTCTTAGCTGGCCAGCTACAGTCCCACCAAAATTACCTATAATTCTATGTTCTCAGTAATAGGAATCGAACATGAATTTGAGGAATTTTCCATCAGTTTCTCAACTCTCCAGTGTCTTTGTTCTTCTGTAGGTCTACGTGTCTTTCTACAGATTACACATTTACTTATGTACTTCGCTATAACTTTGCTTCCTTTCACTATCCAGTAACCACCTTCTCTCAAACAGCTTTGAGTAAAGCTTCTTCCTTGATGCAAGGATTTGTTGTGGTAGTGATTGATAATCAATCTTGTGAAGGTAGAATTTTTGGGTAGAATTGCTGGATGCTTAACTCTGTTAGGTAGCGACGCATTTTCCAGCCTCCCTCCCACCTTCAGTATACCATCCTGCAGAATAAGATTGAGCTTGTACAATGGGTGGTTGTTTGGAAGTCTCTTAGGTTCTTGACTAAGTCTCTTCAATTCTTCACTGTAGAATCTTTGATGAATGAGTCTTATAACCGTTTCTTCAGCTTTCACTCTTTCCTCTACATTCAACGATTCTTTCTTTCTGATTCCTTTTGCTAAGCGTTGAATTTGAGCTACTATGTTTATGACTGTATTCCACTTTGAACATCTGGCTAGTCGTTCAAGTATGTCATCTTGACACTTGGCGACAGTGCTCAATGTTTGAACTACCTTTACTTCTGGATCACCCATAGACAGTTCTGTATAACCTTCACTGGGTATGATCTCCTTTTCCCAAAGGAACTCTGGACCCGGTGAACCAGTTTGAATTCTTCAATTCTGTTACATTTAGGCCTCTTGAAGCATGATCTGCCGGGTTTTGCTTTTTGTCAACATAGTGCCAATGTTCTGGATTCGTTGCTTTTCAAATTTTTTGAACTCTGTTAGCGACAAAGGTGTGGAATCTTCGAGCTTCATTGTTTATGTAACCTAGGACAACTTGTGAGTCTGTCCAAAAAATGCTCTTCATCTATTTTCAATTCCAATTCTTCTCTCAGAAACTGACTTACTGATGCTGAAACGACAGCTGCCGTTAGTTCGAGTCTTGGTATTGTCTGAATATTGTTGGGTGCTACTCTGGCCTTTCCCATAACTAGGGCACAGTGTATCTTCTCTTCTCCTATTACTCTGATGTAGGAGCACTGACCATAACCATGACTACTGGCATCTGAAAAGTGATGAAGTTCTATTCTCTTGTACTTTCCGAAATCAGGAGGTACAAAACATCTGGGTATCCGAATTTCTTTCAAATTTTGCAAGTCTCTTATCCAACTCTCCCACCTTGGCCTCAAGCCTGCAGGTATGGGTTCGTCCCATCCCAACTTCTGTCTGCATAATTCTTGCAGTATTTCTTTTGCTCTGAGGATTATTGGTGATAGGAATCCCAACGGATCATATATTGAGGCTACTGCGGAAAGAATGGTACGTCTAGTTGGAACTTTCTCTTCCATGGATATTTCAAAGAAAAAATTGTCGTTTTCTACATTCCATCCCAATCCGAGTACATTCTGAACTGGAAGAGGATCATAGTTAAGATCCACATTCTTTATTGTTGATGCACGTTCGGAGTCACTGATGGATTCTAGTACCTCTCTGTCGTTTGAGATGACTTTGTGAAGACGCAGGTTTGCCTTTGCGCATAACTCTTGGCTCTCTCTCACCAATTGAATGGCAGATTCTGAGGATTCTAGGCTTATAAGACCATCATCTACATAAAAGTTTTTCTTCAAAAAATTTGCTGCTGATGGACAATCCTTTTCATTCTGATTGGCCAGATACTTCATACCATAATTGGCACAACCTGGGGATGATGCTGCTCCAAACAAGTGTACTTTCATCCTATATTCCGCTGGCTCTGTATCTGTATCTCCGTCTTCCCACCATAGGAACCTCAGGAAGTCTCTATCTTCTTCCTTCACATGAAATTGGTGGAACATCTTTTCAATGTCGCACATGACTGCTATGGGATACTTTCTGAATCTACAGAGTACTCCAAGTACAGTGTTTGTAAGATCTGGTCCTTTAGTAGATGATCGTTCAATGCAACATCATTGTACCTTGCTGAGCAATCAAAAACTACTCTGATCTTATCTGGTTTCTTGGGGTGATAGACACCTTGATGTGGGATGTACCACACTTCTCCATTTTTAGGCTGACCATCAACTTTCTCTGCGTGACCTTCTTTGATGATTTCTTTCATGAATTTCAAATAATCGTCTTTGAGTTTGGGATCTCTTCCCATCCTTTTCTTTAAGCTTTTCAATCTTGCCAGGGCAAGATCTCTGTTATTTGGCAGATGAGGTCGTTCTCTAAAAGGTAGGGGCATTTCAAGATAACCGTGTTGATTTTGCTGAATATTATCTTCTAAAACTTGTACAAACTTTATGTCCTCTTGGGATACGCTCTTTTTATTAGAACTTACGTCTGCAAAGTCGGATTCTAGGATTTTGAGTACTTTCGCTGGACTTACAGTTGGTAACTCTTGGACAGATATTCTATGACACAATCCTGTCACCTGTCCTGAATCTGCAATCTGTCGTTTTCCTCCAACAACACCTCATCCTAGATCAGTTTGGACTGCATAGGGTTCACCCTTTCCTCCTGCGATTATCTTTTGTGGTACCAACGCCTCGGGACAGTCATAGCCTATCAACAGTCCAACACCAAATTCCTTCAGCGGGGACATTTCATGAGATATGACAGATAGGTGTTCCCATTTGTTGGCTGTTTCACAGGTAGGTATGCGATCTCGATCTAGAGGTATGTCGTCTTTTGTATAAGCTGGAGGTAGATCTAATATGCAGTTTGAGTGGAGTCCTCTAACTCTCAGTCCTTTGACTCTTTGACTGTTCACCAATGTGTCTCTTCCTGTCATTGTAGTGAGTTTGAGTTTCACTGGTTCTGTGGCCACTTGTAATTTCTTGCAGATTTCTTGATCAATGAAGGTGACGTCACTCTGGGCATCCAGTAGCGCATAGGCGTATACCTTCTTGTTCTTCCTTTTAGGAATTGAAATACACACTGGTACAACCATTGACGTGCCATTGATTTCTCTTTCTTTCACTCTGCAAGAGAATACTGTTGCTTTATTTTCTTCCTCAGTGTCCTTGGGCATTAAGGATTTCTCTTTCTTTGGACGTTCTTCATGTAGTGGTGTAGGATGACGTCCTTTACAAATGCTGCAAGTGGCCTTTTTCTTGCATTCTTTAGTAATATGGCCTTTGCTTAAACATCCAAAACATAGCTGATTATCAAACACAAACCTTTTCTTTTCATCTGGAGACCTTTCCTTCAATTGTTGGCACTTATGTATGGAGTGATTCTCTTCACAGAACATACACTTGAAGGTAATCTGAAGACTTGTCGGTTCTGACTCTTTACTGATCCCAGTAGTGATGTTGAACTTGCTCTCATGGGCATCTGGGTGTTAGTAGCTGTGTTGGTTGCAAAGATAGTTGCTCTTGAGCGTCTTATCTCTCTTGTAGGCCTTTCTTCTAAGGGTTTTAAGACATAAGATGCTGTTACTGGATTACACGCTATTCGTGCTTCCTTATTGACAAATTCAGAGAACTCTTTGAAACTTGGGAAGTTTTTGCCGTGATCTAACTGTTCAGTCACATAGCGATTCCATCCAGAAGCCACTTGTTCTGGTAGCTTGGCTAGCATCCTGTGGTTTTCTAGATAGTCGTTCAATACTTCTAGTCCTTGAACATGTGGGATAGCGTTCCTGCATGCTTGCAGGAAGTCACCATACTCTTGGAGCTTGAAGTGTTCTTTAGGACCTATTTTAGGCCAGTTTATCAACTTCTCTCTGAAGCTCTTTGTACTAAGAAGGGATGACCATATCTTGCATTTAATTTTTCCCAAGCTTGCTTGTAGGCTTCTTCATCTTTCCTATAGAAGTTACCTTCAAGAACCCTTTTTGCTCCTCCACCAGTATACCGCTGGAGGTAGAATAACTTGTCCACTGGACGGGAGCAATTATGTTCAATGATCATTTCAAAACTTGCCTTCCATTCTATAAACTTCAGTACGTCTCCGGAGAATATAGTAGGTTCCGGAACAGGAAGTCTAGTGAGAAATCTCTGAGGTTTCGTCGGGTCAACAGTTGTAACATCCTCGTGACCACTGCCATGACATATGA